CCCCGGACACGGCCTTGCCGTCGGTGATGGCAGTCTCCATGCCCTCGATGTTCCTGAAGCGTTCCTCGCCGGGCCGAGCCGCAAGGACGTTGCGCCACGCGTCCTCAATGTCCATTACCGCATTGTAGCATTTCTCGATATGCGCGCGCTGTCCGCTGAGAGACTTGTTCACTTTGCCCTCGCTGGCGCCGAAGTCACATTTGAAATCCTCAAGGGCGACACGGGCCCGCTTCGCCGGTGGAGCGTCGACCGCCTGCACGTCAGGCTTCGTGTCCATCAGCTTCTTAATGGTTGTCAGCTGCAGCTTCACGGCGTTCAGCTGGTCCATGGCAGCCAGCTGCTGCTTGTTCAAAATTACGCCCGGGTCAGCGGCGCGACGCTCCTGCGCAGCCTTGACATCTTTATTTTCCTTAATTGCGACGAGTCGCGCTTTTAATTCGGTGTACATCGTGTTGTAGCTGACCGAAGTCTCGCTGTCAGAATCGGACATTGTAATTGAGGGCACACTACCACGAAGCGGATCACCAAGGCCTACAGACCAACCGCTTCACGGCAGCACCCAAACGTAGCTACGAACAACCCGAATTCGTGGTAGTGTGCCCTCACCCGGCCCTACCCTTTCACGAAGACGTTCTTCCCTTGCGTGCAGGTACTTGTTTGTAACGTAGTCTTCGCATGAAAACCCACGTCCTTCTTCTTCTTCTTCCCCTCCCTCGAGTCGTCCTTCTCTCTTCACCCCTTCCCTCACCCCTCCCCCCTCACCCCCAAAACACACCCTCCCTCCCTCGGCCCCTCAGGACAACCTCCTAGTCAGGACTGTCCTCAAACTTCCGCAATGTAAATCTTTTTAAATTGAATGTTTGAAATTGCATCGCCATTACCGCCGTCCATGGTTTCCTCCACGAACCCGAACCCCACAATCCCCCGCGCTCTCAGGGGGTCCACGACGTACGCTTCCGTACACGCACACGCGGAGCAGGACCTCGGTCGTCGTGACGATTTGTGGTCCTGGCTGTACTGCACAATCGAGCTGCTCGAAGGTGAGAAAGTAGGGGGGAATTATTCTCAAGGGTGAGGGGGGGGTTTCGGGGATTAGGGGGTTTCGGGGGGTTGTGTGGGGTGCACGTGGTGAGGAGGGGTGTGTGTGTGTCGATACACACGTGCACTCTCGGCTACTCTGCCTTCTCCTGTACTCGGTTAATTCGGTTGTCAGTTTGTAGTTTACCTTTTTTCGTTTGGCTCTTTCCTTTTTGGACTTCGCCTTTGAAGTTCCTTTTCCCGTTTCCCCGCCCACACACACCGCTCACAGCATGAATACAGAAATAAACATACATACATGCATACATACAGACTTACTTACATACTTACTTACAGACTTAAATACTACACGCGCGTCCTGTTCGTAGGCACGCTCCCCTGGCGGACCGACCAGAACAAAGATCCTGACAGTCGGGATGCCGTACTGCGGATGAAGCAAGCCTGCATCGCCGAGCCCTCAAGATACTTACGCTCCGCCGCCGCCAGCAGTGCCGGCGGCGCCGCTGGAGGCGGCAGCGCCGGCTCCGCCGCTGGCAACGCCGTCGGGCCCCATCATCCTTTGCTACAGCCGCTACTGCTCGGGCCCATACATCAACTTTCAAACTATATCGCCTCATTGGGTTTCGCCGACGCGCCGGATTACGGGCTAATGTACGGCTACCTTCTGCAACTTCCGGATGACGACCTGGGGGGCCTTATTTCCGGGTCTGGGCACGGGTCGTTGGCGGCGGCGGCGGGGATGTGGGGGGCGGGTATGCCGGGCACGGCAGAGGCGCAGTACGGACAGGCGGCGGCCGCCGCCGCCGCCGCGGCGGCGGCGCAGCAAATGATCTACCACCAACAGGTCCTTGAAAGCCCCATTAACCTTTTGGGCTGTTGCGCTGGTTGGTTGGGTAGTCGTGCAGTTGGTTGGAACTGTTGCCTGGTCGTTGGGTTCGTTGGTTCGTTCGCGCGGCTTCCCGCTTCCCGAAATGCGCTGTTACTCTTTGCGCCCACCCCCTAACTCAATACACACACACATACTCTTACACACGAACACGTCATGTGCACATCCCAGCCGAACTATAATTTTGCTAGGTCGCAGTACACTGGGACCTGTGCCGGTGTAGTTGACCCCTTTCTTTGTTTCCTTTTTTGTTTTGCATCATGTGTTTGAGAAGATATATCTTCCTCCACTCCAACCCCCCCTGCTCCGAAACCCCGGGATCGCTCCCCTGACTTCCCCCCCCGCCCCTCAACCCCCTTCCCCCACCCCGCAGTACTACGGCCACCCCCACCACCCCC